TCAGAGTCACAGTTTCGGTACGGTTCGGTATGTGCTATGTTTAGGGAAAACACTATATTGTCAAATTAAAATAAAGAAAATAAGAACAAATAATCTAACTACAAGCAAAAGCACAAATAAATAAACATCGAAAAAAGATACAAATAAAATAAACCGTTTTCATTCCGTTTTTTTAGGTAGGTCTAACAGTTTTTAGGTACAGAAATTGAATAAATCAACGTAAAATAACATTGCATATTTGACTGTATAAATTAAAGATTAATCCTTATTAAAGTTACAAAAGTTATTCAATCAAGAGCAGTGAGAGATTTCCGTGCTGTTGCTGTTTGATTAACATTAAGAAAGTGCTGTCACTTTAAGAGAACGCACTGATCCAGTGCACTGATACAGTACGTTCAGCCGACTATGTCTGCTAGGATACTCACCAAGACGGGCATTTTGACAATTTTTGTCACAAACACAATACTTAACAGAGAGCTTAATATTTGCGCGCATTCTGAGGTTCACGTGCTTCGGATGAGCGACCACAGATCTTCTCACTGCGCACAAGAGTTCACGTCTTCTGGCTCTTTAATATTTAAACTGAATGAGTTTAAATGAGTTAAGTTTAAACTCAGATAGCAACGTGTGCTGTTCAGGTCTCACCTGCGCTATCAACACGTGATGACGGCATAAATGACAGTTATTCCAGCATAAAGCACTTGAATTGATTAAAGAGTGACTGGTTTGTCCACGTACTGTTTTTCTCTCTCTCTGTCTGCTAGGATACTCACCAAGACGGGCATTTTGACAATTTTTGTCACAAACACAATACTTAACAGAGAGCTTAATATTTGCGCGCATTCTGAGGTTCACGTGCTTCGGATGAGCGACCACAGATCTTCTCACTGCGCACAAGAGTTCACGTCTTCTGGCTCTTTAATATTTAAACTGAATGAGTTTAAATGAGTTAAGTTTAAACTCAGATAGCAACGTGTGCTGTTCAGGTCTCACCTGCGCTATCAACACGTGATGACGGCATAAATGACAGTTATTCCAGCATAAAGCACTTGAATTGATTAAAGAGTGACTGGTTTGTCCACGTACTGTTTTTCTCTCTCTCTCTCATCGTTCTTGTTGTAATGTATTTGGAAGCCAGAATTTGTATCCATCAACAGAAACATGCATTAGCCGAACTCTAACAAACCATATTACAGGTGCATTGTCAGATTTAAGTTGAACCGCGCTCCTAGTGTATGCCGAACCGCTGGTTTGTCCACGTACTGTTTTTCTCTCTCTCTCTCATCGTTCTTGTTGTATATATATGTATATATACACACACACACACATATACTGTACATACATACATACATACATACATGCATACAAACACACACATCAAGAATAGTAATAATTGTTATATATATATACAATGGGTATAAAAAATAATTACTCCCCTTTAAAATCACATTTTTTAAATGAAGCTGTAATATATATATATATATATGTATATATACACACACACACACACACATATACTGTACATACATACATACATGCATACAAACACACACATCAAGAATAGTAATAATTGTTATATATATATACAATGGGTATAGAAAATAATTACTCCCCTTTAAAATCAAATTTTTTAAATGAAGCTGTATCCAGCTGTATTTACTCTGCAACTTATAACATCCAAGTGAACGATATAAAACCAGAAAAACAAAATTTAAAAATTTAAAAATCTGAATCACTGAGTTGGAAAAAGGATAACCTCCTTGTTTCAGTATTTAGTTGAACCACCTATTGCTTTAATTACAGCCTTTAGCCTGTTGGGATATGTCTCGGTCTCTACTAACTTTGCACATCTAGACTTTGCAATATTTGCCTACTCTTCTTTGCTGCTCAAGTTCAGTTAAATTTGATGGTGAACGTTTGTGGACTGCAGTCTTCAGGTCATTCCACAGATTTTCAATGGGGTTTAAGTCCGGGCTCTGACTAGGTAAAGTGAGGACATTCATCTTTTTCTTCTTCAACCACTGTGTGCTCGGTTTTGCTGTGTGCTTTGGGTCATTGTCATTTTGGAAGGTAAACCTTCACATTGACAACTTTCTGGCAGAGGGCAGCTGATTTTTCTCAAGAATTTGATCGTATTTTGCCCCATCCATTTTTCCTTCCATCCTGACGTGTGCTCCAGTCCCTGCTGCAGAGAAACACTCCCATAACAGGATATTGCCACCTCCATGCTTTACAGTAGGAATGGTGTTATTTGGATGGTGGGCTGTTTTGGATTTTCTCCAAACATATCGTTTGGTGTTGAGGCTAAATCATTCAATTTTAGTCCCATCTGCCTCTGAGCTTTACCAAAATGCACCTCGAAGATTCTGTCTTGATTGAATGTGGCCTTTATTGAGGAGTGGCTTTTTTCTTGTAACCCTCCCATACACGCACACAATGACCACTCTTATAAATATTCTGTCATAAATTTCTGCAACTGCTTCAGAGTTGCTGTAGGCCTTCTTGTAGCCTCTCTTACTAGTATCCTCCAGTTTGGAGCGACGTCCTGATCCAGTTAGGGTCTGTGTTGTACCAAATAGCTTCCACTTCTTAATAATAGACTTCACTGTGCTTCTACGCTTTGTAAAGCCTTTGAAATTGTACCTGTCCACAGCTTTATCCCAGAGATATTTTGACAGTGCCTTGCCACCCATAGTTCACATAGTTCAGTTGATTGTTTGCTTCAGTTGCACTACCAAGGACTGAAATGCTCCAGGAAAGCTCTTTTCATGCTGAGCTAATCAAAATGACCACAGCTGATCACAGTTGAAAGTCAAATGGCTTTGTGTGCCATTGAGAAGGTAATTAGCTACACCAACTCATTTTTAGGAGGGGGGATCCTTTTTTCCAACTCAGTGATTGTTTTTTTTGTTGTTTTCTGACATGTTGGTGTTATATTATCTTTCACTTGGATGTTATAAGTTGCACTGAGTAAATACAGCTGGATAGAACAAAAACTGTCCGTCTTCATTTCAGGCTGCAAAGCAACAAAATGTGATTATTTTCTATACCCACCGTACATATAAATATATATGTGTTTGTGTGTGTATAGATATATATACACACACACACACACACACACACACTTAAAGAACAGATAGAGTAAATGACTGATCGAATCCCTTTATTCAAGTTGTTTACTTGTGCAGCATGTCATTAAATCAGCAGTCGTGTATTTTCTGATCATATTTCATCCGGTGTGAATTTGCCTCAAGGATCAACATGTCAAAAACAGACATTAGCAAATCAAACTGTTGATTTCCACAGAACTCAGAGAAAAAGTGTTAGGCATGATCTCACCTGACACTCTGGGTCACCAAAGCGGCAGTTGAACTCCAGGACTTTCGGTCCCTGTTTAGTCAACATCACTCCTGCATATAAAACACCTGAGAAAGGAAGATGAGGAATGATTGACTGATGATAATAATAATCTTGTTCTGGCTCAGTTTTAATCAAAATCATCTCTCTTCGAGTTCTCATGTCCTTTTAAAGATATCATTCACTTACACAATTCACACATCAATCACTCATGCCGTTCCAAACACATATGATTCTCTTTCTTCTGTGGAAAAACTAAAGTTGCTCTTTCTATGCAATTATAGAAAATGATGACAAATGCGTGTCTGTTTCTTACACATACCTACTGAATGACTTCAGAAGACATGAAATATAGTTCATGAGATTTATGGACTACTGTTTTGTTAGATTTATGGTGCTTGTTTATTGTAATTACATGTAAAGTCTTCAAAATATCTTCTTTGATGTTCCACAGGAGAAAGTCAGTCCGGCAGGTTTGGAACAACATGAAGGTAATGAAATGATAACAGAATGATCACTTTTCAGAGAACTATCACTTTAAAAATGTGTTTGTCCAATCAGTGTTATTCTGTGTAAAGCCTGACATATGAAATAATAGTCAGAATTTATGTATTTATTTATTTTTGAAAGGGAACAGTTTATTTAACCAAAAAAAATCAGTTTTTGTTGATATTTAATACATCAGGCTTTTATGGCTCATATAGTGAGAATATTGAGGAAAAAAACAGCTCAGTTTTGTTCAGAAACTCAAAGTGAACAAAAATATGCAATTTGGTGCCGATGCTGATATTTATATGGACAAATGTAAGATTAAATACTGATGTATGTAATGTAAGTCAATGAGGATCTGAGGTAGCATGTGACGTCACAAGTAGTGTTGCACGACATACCGGTACTAAAAATGTATCGCAATACCTTGCTTTATAAAAACGGTACAATTCCTCATTTTAATAGTACTTTAACAAAGCCATCATTTTAATAAGAACCGGTAGAAAATGATGACAAATGCGTGTCTGTTTCTTACACATACCTACTGAATGACTTCAGAAGACATGAAATATAGTTCATGAGATTTATGGACTACTGTTTTGTTAGATTTATGGTGCTTGTTTATTGTAATTACATGTAAAGTCTTCAAAATATCTTCTTTGATGTTCCACAGGAGAAAGTCAGTCCGGCAGGTTTGGAACAACATGAAGGTAATGAAATGATAACAGAATGATCACTTTTCAGAGAACTATCACTTTAAAAATGTGTTTGTCCAATCAGTGTTATTCTGTGTAAAGCCTGACATATGAAATAATAGTCAGAATTTATGTATTTATTTATTTTTGAAAGGGAACAGTTTAACCAAAAAAACAAAATCAGTTTTTGTTGATATTTAATACATCAGGCTTTTATGGCTCATATAGTGAGAATATTGAGGAAAAAAACAGCTCAGTTTTGTTCAGAAACTCAAAGTGAACAAAAATATGCAATTTGGTGCCGATGCTGATATTTATATGGACAAATGTAAGATTAAATACTGATGTATGTAATGTAAATCAATGAGGATCTGAGGTAGCATGTGACGTCACAAGTAGTGTTGCACGACATACCGGTACTAAAAATGTATCGCAATACCTTGCTTTATAAAAACGGTACAATTCCTCATTTTAATAGTACTTTAACAACGCCATCGTTTTAATAAGAACCGTGTTCCCGGAGTTGCATCGACGTGCAGCAGCAAGACGATTAAGACAAAACTGATTAAGAATCTACCATGTAAAAAGAGATTTTTGATTACCTTAATCCGGCTAAAGTCATATTCGAAGTAAACAGAAATTTAATTAAGACATGTGAAGTATTCCTATTTTAGTCGCATTACTGAAGTGCAGTATAGATATGTAAACACCTAATCAAATTATTACCGTCGTGTAGAACTTTTCGCCGCAATTTGCAAAAGGATACATACATGGCAGTGGTCAACCGTTTGACGGCATATAAAAGAGCTTCAACACCGTCATTGCCTGTATGCACGTACAAATAATTAACTGCACTTGAAACTATCATAAAATTAAAAATGAAACACCCAAAACTGTATATGGCATCATCATGAAGAGGAACTATATGTTCATATGTGAAATTCCGGAGGGGACGTCGGATGGCGTCACGTGGGACATAATGATGTGTGCCATTAATCGAACTATGTACTAGAGCCCGACCGATATGTTTTTTTGGGACATATACCGATATTAGGGAGTAAAAAAAACTTTATTCTTTGTGTATATTATAGTACAGTTGGTACTGTTGGTACTGTCAAAAGTTTGGACACTTTCCCATTCGAGGAATCCATTCGTTATGGAGATATGGCCGTTCAAAGTTTTAATGGTTTTCCATAGACTTAAGCTTTAAAGCGTTTCATCCAGGTCACCAGTAGTAAACAATTGAGCACGCTTTGCTGGACAAACTAAGTAATTACCTAATTTCAAGCATTTTATCTGCGTTATATGTTCTGTAAAAAAAAATGTCATATTGGCGGCATATTCGCAGATACCGATATATCGGCGACAGGCTTATATCGTCCGATAATATCGGCAAAACGATATATCGGTCGGGCTCAACTATGTACTATAACATGTAAAACGGGAACATGAAAGGAATATTCTAAAAGCAACTAATGTAAACACCATAATCATAATATTGGCTTATTTAGAATAAGGTAAATAATTAGATTACTGATGTCCATGTAAATGTAGTCCGTGTGTGTGCGACGCTCTGCTTCAGCTCCCTGCATATACACTGGCCACACCAAACTTTATATGCCTGCACGGTGCAGGACTGCTTAAAGTTATAGCCAATTTAGAGAATGGATAAGAAACATGCATGAATGAGAAAATAAAGTGTGGGACGTGCTTGATGTTAAAAAGTGTTAAGTGCAATAAATCTTGAAAAAGAACTCACGCAGTACTCGCACGCTATCACACACCCGATGCACATGCACTGAAAGCCGCCTCGCTCAGACAGCATATGTGAGCGCGAATTCAGATCTCTTTCACAAGTTATTTTGCTTCAGCGTTTAAATACACACAATTATGTTAAAATCCCCGTCTTATGACTGAAGTGAATGTAAACAGATGAGAAAGAAAACGCATGTGTATCAATAAATTGGATCCATGTAGCTCTTAAAGTGACAGTTGGCTCATATTCCTGCTGCTGTGAAAAAGAGAAAATTACTCACTGATCTTGACCGACTAATATTAATAGGTTTAATAAGTAATATAGAAGACTATGCTGTGCTTTACTTTTATATTTTGATTACTTTATTCAATTTTTGTTTTATCTCTTACTTGAACGCAACTGTTAAATAGACCTACTTCACATAAAAACACTATTTAATTTCATTATTAGAAAATAAAACCCATTATAAATCACTGTTGCTGTCTACACTGAATACAGTATACAGATGCACAGTGTCTTGACATTCTCCACGTGCAAGAGTGTGCTGATAAATGGAAGAGTGAAAGAACGTTGGGTTTGATGCGATTTAAACAGCTCATTTGCTTCTCTGTACAGACTTCAGATGGATCCCAGCATCAGAAACAAGTGGATGGTTTATTTTAATGGCATAATGTCATCCTGGATCACATTGGAGGATTATGTTTTTTTTTGGAGCATTTAACTGCAGCTTGTTTTGTAAATGAGGCGCAGTGCAATGGAGATTTTGCAAGGAAACTTTTATTGAAAGATGAAACTGGCAGCTGTACTGGATCTGACAGCAGCTGCAACAAACTCTAAGTAAACAATTTCATAATGTTTTGTCTGTAAATGATGGTTTTATATGAATAATGGGTCCCACTTTATATTAAGTGGCCCTAATACCTATAGTATAGTAAGTGCCCTAATAATGTGCACTTACACTGTGGTTACATACTACGTACACATCTAGTTACTATGTAAGTACACAGGTATTAGGGCCACTTAATATAAAGTGGGACCCATAATGTTTTCAAAACACTTACATGCAATAGTGAGGGGGCTTTTATACGGTTTCAAATGTTAGCCAATCAAAATGGTGACCATTTACTGAAAAGCCTTAAAGGAACCGCCCACTTAAACCAGATCATTTTTAGACAAAGGGTCAGACTGAGAGTTGAAAATAATTGTTTTTACGCTTCTTTCTTTCTTTCTCTTTATTTATTTTAAATAGGTATGATTTTAGATCTTTTGTATGTTTAAAAAAATATCGATACTTGGTGCCAGAGTATCAATAACGTCTCGCGGCTGGAAACATGTGCATCGGCACATCGATTTACTGTCCCACCCCTAATAATCAAGTAAAGCTAAGCTGCTTCAGTCCAGTAAGTATTATTAAAATTATTAGTTATTTGTTCACTTTTTAAAAATCAGATTTCATAGCAAAAAGACAAATAATGCACGAGTTGAAGGTGGATGTTTGTACAGCTATAATAAAAGCCCTTTTACTTGCAAAAAAAAAAAAGTCTTAACTACCAATTAGATGACAGAAGGAATGGAGCAGACTGTGTGCAACAGGTTTAACAGCAAAGACAGATCATGTTGATCATTTAGATGCCTATTAAATATGATACTGCAGGCTTTATAGGATTAAACTGAGGTTAATGGTGCTAGTAGTGTCTGTTTGTCAAACTCACCCACGTATGGTGTTCCCTCCTCCCTCATGCCATCCACAGTCTTCTGCAGAACAGACCTCTTGATCTCCTGCAGCACTTCCTCTGACACCTTCACACACAGACATCATTCACACTTTAATAACATCATCAAAATACAGAGCCCTATGAAATCGTTTTTATTTCTAACCAAATTCTTTTTACTTTTTTTGTTAGAATTTTTCAGTATTTCATTGTAATGGTTAAATTATCAAAAATAAAATCATCAAAATATAGGGCCCTATGAAATCCGTTTAATTTCTTCCCAAATTAAAAGTAATTTAGTAATAAAAAAGCATGTCAAGTTAATTTAAATAATGAAACGTATTACATTTATTAAAATTTATTAACAATTTGTTAAAAGTTTAGCAAATATAACATTTTTAGTGCCCCATGAAATCAATTTTATTTTTTCTAAATTCCTTTTTTTATTATTATTTTAATATCTCTGGATACTGTTTTAATGGTTTAATTACATTTTAATAATGCATTTTTGATTTAATAGAAATGCATTATCAAAAACAGTGAAGGCATAAACATGATCAATTTAATCAAATGGAAATGTAACGATTCCTTTTATATTTTTTGCCAAACAAAGTGCTGCACAACAGAGGTTTGCAGTTAAAATTAACATATTATGTGATATTCTTTAAAAAATAAGTGTAATAATTAAGTTTAAAAATAAGGTTAAATATTAAGTTTTTAATAATTTTATTATTATTGCTTTTATTATTATTAATCGAGAAGCATCATTTATGAAAATATTTATGTACACAGGTATTAGGGCCACTTAATATAAAGTGGGACCCATAATGTTTTCAAAACACTTACATGCAATAGTGAGGGGGCTTTTATACGGTTTCAAATGTTAGCCAATCAAAATGGTGACCATTTACTGAAAAGCCTTAAAGGAACCGCCCACTTAAACCAGATCATTTTTAGACAAAGGGTCAGACTGAGAGTTGAAAATAATTGTTTTTACGTTTCTTTCTTTCTTTCTCTTTATTTATTTTAAATAGGTATGATTTTAGATCTTTTGTATGTTTAAAAAAATATCGATACTTGGTGCCAGAGTATCAATAACGTCTCGCGGCTGGAAACATGTGCATCGGCACATCGATTTACTGTCCCACCCCTAATAATCAAGTAAAGCTAAGCTGCTTCAGTCCAGTAAGTATTATTAAAATTATTAGTTATTTGTTCACTTTTTAAAAATCAGATTTCATAGCAAAAAGACAAATAATGCACGAGTTGAAGGTGGATGTTTGTACAGCTATAATAAAAGCCCTTTTACTTGCAAAAAAAAAAAAGTCTTAACTACCAATTAGATGACAGAAGGAATGGAGCAGACTGTGTGCAACAGGTTTAACAGCAAAGACAGATCATGTTGATCATTTAGATGCCTATTAAATATGATACTGCAGGCTTTATAGGATTAAACTGAGGTTAATGGTGCTAGTAGTGTCTGTTTGTCAAACTCACCCACGTATGGTGTTCCCTCCTCCCTCATGCCATCCACAGTCTTCTGCAGAACAGACCTCTTGATCTCCTGCAGCACTTCCTCTGACACCTTCACACACAGACATCATTCACACTTTAATAACATCATCAAAATACAGAGCCCTATGAAATCGGTTTTATTTCTAACCAAATTCTTTTTACTTTTTTTTGTTAGAATTTTTCAGTATTTCATTGTAATGGTTAAATTATCAAAAATAAAATCATCAAAATATAGGGCCCTATGAAATCCGTTTAATTTCTTCCCAAATTAAAAGTAATTTAGTAATAAAAAAGCATGTCAAGTTAATTTAAATAATGAAACGTATTACATTTATTAAAATTTATTAACAATTTGTTAAAAGTTTAGCAAATATAACATTTTTAGTGCCCCATGAAATCAATTTTATTTTTTCTAAATTCCTTTTTTTATTATTATTTTAATATCTCTGGATACTGTTTTAATGGTTTAATTACATTTTAATAATGCATTTTTGATTTAATAGAAATGCATTATCAAAAACAGTGAAGGCATAAACATGATCAATTTAATCAAATGGAAATGTAACGATTCCTTTTATATTTTTTGCCAAACAAAGTGCTGCACAACAGAGGTTTGCAGTTAAAATTAACATATTATGTGATATTCTTTAAAAAATAAGTGTAATAATTAAGTTTAAAAATAAGGTTAAATATTTTTTTTAAGTTTTTAATAATTTTATTATTATTGCTATTATTATTATTAATCGAGAAGCATCATTTATGAAAATATTTAGATTTAAAGTTTTACAATTTCAAAAAAAAATACAAATGCAAAATTAAGAAATATTTTAAAAATAAGTTGAAATATAGTTTTAATACCATTACTAATACTAGTTGAGAAGCATATATTATATTTATAATATAATTTATTTATAAAAAACGATATATTACAATTTATTTGTAATATTATTTATAATATATAATATATTTCAGTCACAATTTAACCAAACATTTATTATGATGTGTTGTTGTGAAGATCTTCGAGTTTCTGTGTGTATCTGATGGAAGTTTTTCTCAAATGAAATGGTAAAATGTTCATTAAGTGATACCAAAATACCATAGGCAGTACTATGGTATTCTCTGAAGAGTATCATGTAATTATCCATGAGATATATGGGGATCTGTTGACCTGTGGTGTGGGGCAGTACGCGCCCATCCCGCCCGTGTTTGGACCCTGGTCTCCATCCAGCAGACGTTTGTGATCTTGTGCCGGTGGCATCGGTGACACTGTGATGCCGTCACTAAAGCACAGACACTGAGAACAGACGATAGGCTTAGCACCCTAAAAAATTTATAATAATAATTAATCTGATTACCTGGGATGCTCAATAACACCAGGAAGTACTTACAGAGACTTCCTCTCCTTCCAGTTGCTCCTCAACCACCACAGTCTCACCAGCAGAACCAAACGCCTTATCCTGAAACATCAAGAAAAAGATGTTAATAATTTTATTCAGCAAAGAAATTATGTTTTCTATTCTAACCTTCTATTCATCAAAGAATCATAAAAAATAAAATGTATCACAGATTCCACAAAAATATGAAGCAGTACAACTGTTTTCAACATAACAATCAGAAATGTTTCTTGAGCAGCAAATCAAAATAATAGAATGACATAATAGAATGACTTCTAAAGGATAATGTGACACTGAAGACTGGAGTAATGATGCTGAAAATTCAGCTTTGATCGCAGGAATAGATTACATTTCACAATATATTCACAGAGAAAACACCTATATTAAAATGTAATAGTATTTTGACATTATTTTGATCAAATAAATGGCACCCTAAAAAATTTATAATAATAATTAATCTGATTACCTGGGATGCTCAATAACACCAGGAAGTACTTACAGAGACTTCCTCTCCTTCCAGTTGCTCCTCAACCACCACAGTCTCACCAGCAGAACCAAACGCCTTATCCTGAAACATCAAGAAAAAGATGTTAATAATTTTATTCAGCAAAGAAATTATGTTTTCTATTCTAACCTTCTATTCATCAAAGAATCATAAAAAATAAAATGCATCACAGATTCCACAAAAATATGAAGCAGTACAACTGTTTTCAACATAACAATCAGAAATGTTTCTTGAGCAGCAAATCAAAGCAGAACAGACCTCTTGATCTCCTGCAGCACTTCCTCTGACACCTTCACACACAGACATCATTCACACTTTAATAACATCATCAAAATACAGAGCCCTATGAAATCGGTTTTATTTCTAACCAAATTCTTTTTACTTTTTTTTGTTAGAATTTTTCAGTATTTCATTGTAATGGTTAAATTATCAAAAATAAAATCATCAAAATATAGGGCCCTATGAAATCCGTTTAATTTCTTCCCAAATTAAAAGTAATTTAGTAATAAAAAAGCATGTCAAGTTTATTTAAATAATGAAACGTATTACATTTATTAAAATTTATTAACAATTTGTTAAAAGTTTAGCAAATATAACATTTTTAGTGCCCCATGAAATAAATTTTATTTTTTTCTAAATTCCTTTTTTTATTATTATTTTAATATCTCTGGATACTGTTTTAATGGTTTAATTACATTTTAATAATGCATTTTTTATTTAATAGAAATGCATTATCAAAAACAGTGAAGGCATAAACATGATCAATTTAATCAAATGGAAATGTAACGATTCCTTTTATTTTTTTTGCCAAACAAAGTGCTGCACAACAGAGGTTTGCAGTTAAAATTAACATATTATGTGATATTCTTTAAAAAATAAGTGTAATAATTAAGTTTAAAAATAAGGTTAAATATTTTTTTTAAGTTTTTAATAATTTTATTATTATTGCTATTATTATTATTAATCGAGAAGCATCATTTATGAAAATATTTAGATTTAAAGTTTTACAATTTCAAAAAAAAATACAAATGCAAAATTAAGAAATATTTTAAAAATAAGTTGAAATATAGTTTTAATACCATTACTAATACTAGTTGAGAAGCATATATTATATTTATAATATAATTTATTTATAAAAAACGATATATTACAATTTATTTGTAATATTATTTATAATATATAATATATTTCAGTCACAATTTAACCAAACATTTATTATGATGTGTTGTTGTGAAGATCTTCGAGTTTCTGTGTGTATCTGATGGAAGTTTTTCTCAAATGAAATGGTAAAATGTTCATTAAGTGATACCAAAATACCATAGGCAGTACTATGGTATTCTCTGAAGAGTATCATGTAATTATCCATGAGATATATGGGGATCTGTTGACCTGTGGTGTGGGGCAGTACGCGCCCATCCCGCCCGTGTTTGGACCCTGGTCTCCATCCAGCAGACGTTTGTGATCTTGTGCCGGTGGCATCGGTGACACTGTGATGCCGTCACTAAAGCACAGACACTGAGAACAGACGATAGGCTTAGCACCCTAAAAAATTTATAATAATAATTAATCTGATTACCTGGGATGCTCAATAACACCAGGAAGTACTTACAGAGACTTCCTCTCCTTCCAGTTGCTCCTCAACCACCACAGTCTCACCAGCAGAACCAAACGCCTTATCCTGAAACATCAAGAAAAAGATGTTAATAATTTTATTCAGCAAAGAAATTATGTTTTCTATTCTAACCTTCTATTCATCAAAGAATCATAAAAAATAAAATGCATCACAGATTCCACAAAAATATGAAGCAGTACAACTGTTTTCAACATAACAATCAGAAATGTTTCTTGAGCAGCAAATCAAAATATTAGAATGACTTCTAAAGGATCATGTGACACTGAAGACTGGAGTAATGATGCTGAAAATTCAGCTTTGATCGCAGGAATAGATTACATTTCACAATCTATTCACAGAGAAAACATCTATATTAAAATGTAATAGTATTTTGACATTATTTTGATCAAATAAATGCAGCCTTGGTGAGCGAAGTGCAACAACAACAGCTTTTGAATGATTAAATATATAAATAAATATTTTTATTAGAATAATTGTATAAATACAATACTAATTTGATCATTTATGTTAAATATTAATTTTATTTACATATTTATATAATCAAAGTGTCAGTTAATGCACACAAATTGCTACAAGTTAAGAAAAAATTAAAACTGCATAATTTAAGGATTTACACAGCAGCGATTTCTAATGCAAGATTTTACTGAAATGGTTTTGACTTTTGACCAGCATGTGTCCTCAGTGAGCTGTGTTTGGAGCGCTTTGACTAAGTGAGTTACTTCGTGAACAGTGAAACATTCAAGGACACATTTCATTCTTTCAAAGACAAACAAATAGAACCGCTGTGAAAATATAACCATTAGTGAGACGCTGATGCCGCAGCGACTGACCTTCATGATGTCCAGAACGGCTTTTCGGGCCTCATCTTTATCCCGAGCGACTACAACACCCTTCCCAGCAGCCAGACCGCTGGCCTTCACCACCAGAGCGGGAAACTCAGCGCTGAAAAGATAAAATAAAATGATACATCAGCAAACTTGATTTTTAGATGCATCTTAAAATGTACATTTATTATATGTTGCATTCATTTGCTGCCACAGAGAAAGTTTTTGCCTCATATACAGCTCTGGAAAAAATTAAGAAATCACTCCACATTTTTCTGAAATCAGCATCTCTACATGTATGGCAGCCATTCTATTCCAGTGTTTGTTGAATTCCAACACAGGCAAACCTCATTCTGCCTAATGAAGGACTGATTAGGTGATCACCTCAACCAAGTCTTATTTAATGAGGAAAAGTATAAAAACCACTGCTGTGGTCATCACTATCCTTTTGCAATAGGACCAGCCTGATGGTGCTAGTAGTACCTCAAAAGTAATTGGAATCAAATAATAACTATTGACCATGACAAAAGAGGAATGTTTTGAGTCAGGAAAAGAAGGGTTCAATTATGGCTTTACTGGCAGAGGGATACAGTGAACGTCAGGTTGCTTCCATCCTTAAAATTTCAAAGACAGCGGTTCATAAGAACAAGGTAAAGCTGCAGACATTGGGGACAACAAAGCTTCAGATGGGCAGAGGGTGAAAATGACTCTCCACTGACCCGAATGACCATAGACTCATTCGAACGTCACTCAACAACCATAGGATGACATCAAGTGACCTACATAAAGAATAGCAAATGGCAGCTGGGGTGAAGTGCATGAAGAGAACGGTTCGAAACAGGCTCCTGGGGCAGAGCTGGAGTCGTGCAAAGCTAGAAAAAGTCCTTCATCAATGAGAAGCAAAGAAGAGCCAGGCTGAGGTTTGCAAAAGACCATAAGGATTGGACCGTAGAGGACTGGAGTAAGGTCATCTCCTCTGATGAGTCCAATTTTCAGTTTTGCCCAACACCTGGTCATCTAATGGTTAGACAGAGACCTGGAGAGGCCTACAAGCCACAGTGTTTCGCACCCACTGTGAAATTTGGTAGAGGATCGGTGATGATCTGGGGGTGCTTCATTATTTGAAGTCTAAAAACACCATTTTTATTTTTTTATTTTTGCCAGTAGTAATTTTCTGCAAATAAATTATCTAAATGACAACATGTTTATTTGGGAGAAATTTTGCCAGTAGTTAATAAAATAAAACAAAAATGTTTATTTTACTCAAAAACATACCTATAAATAGTAAAACCAGAAAAACTGATAATTTTAACTTTATTTTTTTCCAGAGCTGTATTTAGTGGATGTTGTAGATGTTTACTCTTGAATGTATTTGCAGGCATCCTGCGGGTCAGTGAAGGAGTTCCAGCGTGCTGTGGGAATGTTGTGACGGTCCATGAAGGATTTGGAGAAACTCTTACTGGCCTCCAGCTGTGCCGCCTTCGCAGACGGGCCGAAACATGTCACACCAGCGGCAGTAAGGTCATCCACTATACCTGAGAGACAATCAGTTAGCATATATACATATATACACACACATACACATATACATATTTATATATATATATATCCAGACTAACACTGAAAATGCTGTATACGGTGGTAATACTTTAATACTTCAATTTCTTATACAGTAGCTGCTGTAAGCATTTTCTTTCAGCATAAATATCTTTCTTTCTTAACAGACATGACTGAAATAGGTGTCCTGATAAATCACACCTGTCCGTGTGACAGCTCCAGACTCTGACTCTGACTCTGCATGTGTTAGTTGATCTCAAAACTTGGAGGCTTGAGTTTTGAGGAAAACTGTTTGGTTTGAGAAAACAGTCAGCATTCTAAGTAGCACTGAAATTGTAACTTTTAATAGCAACTAAAAAAAAATGCCCCTCTTTCTCTGTATGATTCAGTTTAAAAATATATAAATTGGTCAAATATAGTTAAGCATTAGTCCACTTTGTGTCCCATTTTGAGCCAAGTGGATTTAAAAAATTTTTTTTTATAAATACAGTATCTCACAGAAGTGAGTACACCCCTCACATTTTTGTAAATATTTTATTATATCTTTTCATGTGACAACACTGAAGAAATGACACTTTGCTACAATGTAAAGTAGTGAGTGTACAGCTTGTATAACAGTGTAAATTTGCTGTCCCCTCAAAATAACTCGACACACAGCCATTAATGTCTAGACCGCTGGCCACAAAAGTAAGTACACCCTTAAGTGAAAATGTCCAAATTTGCCCCAATTAGCCATTTTCATGTTCGTGGTCAGATGGTGTCAAGCGTGAAGAGTAACCAGGTGAGGAGTACAAAGACAAGTGTGTCTTGCCTACAGTCAAGCATGGTGGTGGGAGTGTCATTGTCTGGGGCTGCATGAGTGCTGCCGGCACTGGGGAGCTACAGTTCATTGAGATAACCATGAATGCCAACATGTACTGTGACATACTGAAGCAGAGCATGATCCCCTCCATTCAGAGACTGGAACGCAGGGCAGTATTCCAACATGATAACAACCCCAAACACCTCCAAGACGACCCACTGCCTTGCTAAAGAAGCTAAGGGTAAAGGTGATGGATTGGCCAAGCATTGCTCCAGACCTAAACCCTATTGAGCATCTCAAGGTCTCTAACATCCACCAGCTCCGTGATGTCGTCATGGAGGAGTGGAAGAGGACTCCAGTGGCAATCTGTGAAGCTCTGGTGAACTCCATGCCCAAGAGGGTTAAGGCAGTGCTGGAAAATAATGGTGGCCACACAAAATATTGACACTTTGGGCCCAATTTGGACATTTTCACTTAGGGGTGTACTCACTTTTGTGGCCAGCGGTTTAGACATTAATGGCTGTGTGTCGAGTCATTTTGAGGGGACAGTAAATTTACACTGTTATACAAGCTGTACACTCACTACTTTACATTGTAGCAAAGTGTCATTTCTTCAGTGTTGTCACATGAAAATATATAATAAAATATTTACAAAAATGTGAGGGGTGTACTCACTTCTGTGAGATACTATATATATATTATACTATATATACATACATATAGTGCATTTACATCTACTAGAGAGCATCATCCAGAAAGTGCTCCTGTTTAAGTGTCATGTTTGTGCACAAACATCTGCTAATCATTATCAAAAGATTAGATTCACTTACATTTAAATATAACATTTATGATTTGCAATGAAAATAATTTTAACATTTAGCAAGCAAAGTTTTAGAGGCTGCATGTACGTCTAACAAAATTAACAAGCAATTTGTAAATTATTTTATTATAAAGTCGTTTAATAATAAAAAATTTTATGCATCAGGTAATTCCGTGTCAACTCAACCAGAGGCCCCCCACTCAAATTTTTGATTTTGTCAATATTTTTTTCTAAAGAAAGAGAAACATGTATAATGATAAAAGCCCAAATATTAAAGGCCATGGATGTAACTTGATTGAGTAATCTGCTATCTTGTATGATGAAAATGACCATTTTAATCTGAGATTCAGAACCAAATTACATGGGGTTAAATATGACTTCAGAAAGATGGCAGCTCCATGATGTTATTATTACACAGAGATTGGTAGGTCTGTTAGTAAAATCTGTTGACTTTACTTTAGCAATCTTTGTTGCATTATGTGCCAGTGGTGACCATTCAAACATGGGATAAAAGCACTTCTCAAATTTTTTCTCCAAAGTGTGCATGCCTGTAACTCGCGAAGTATTAAAGATATCTTAATATCCTTTTAGGTTTTGGGTCTTAGCAAACTTTGCTTTTGGCATATTCGTTCTCAAGGCCCTATATAGTTCAGGCCCAGAGATATGGGGATCTCAATGCCACTTCAAGAGTAAATTGTTAAAGTGTACACATTTTCAGTGGTCAAAAACAATATGTGGGTCACTTTACATAAAGATGATACTTTTTTTTTTTTTTTTTTTTATAAAGAGGAAGCTAAACAAGTAGAACAAATAATGTTGAAACTAGAAATGTATCTTGTTACATATAACTATACACAGTACACACACATATATTATATACACACACAGTTTTAGTTTGGAAGTGATTAATCGATTTTACAGCCCTAACCACTTATATACAAAGTTACCAACATTTGGTTTTTGACCACTGAAAATAGATAATATTCAACATTCTGCATTGGGCTCCCCATTTCTCTGGGACTGAATGATATAGGGTCTTGAAAATAAAGATTCCAAAAGAGAAGTTTATTAAGAACCAGAATCTAAAACAATATTGAGATAATACTTCTTGACATCTAGTCACGCAAACTTCGGAAAACAAATATTTATGGCACTCGGACAGGTATGTTCTATGCAATTGTTTTGATAGAGGGAAACAATATACATTTCTAATTTCAACACTATTTGTTGTTCAGACATTCCTCTTTACAATAAATGAAGTATCATCTGTATGCATAGTGACCCACACTTGGTTTTTGACCACTGAAAATGTGTACATTTAACAATTTACACCTGGAGCCATATTTAGATTCCAATATCGCTGGAATTGAACCATATCGGGCTTTAAAATGCAAGATGCCAAAAGCAAAGTTTGTTAAGCCACCCAAAAGGCATTAAGATATCTTTAATACTTCATGTGTTCATTTGTTACAGGCATGCGAACTTTGGAGAAAAAAACAAAACTTGAAAAGTGCGTTTTTCCCATTTTTGAATGGTCACCATTGGCACATAATGCAACAAAGATTGCTAAATTCAACAGATTTTAGTAATAGACATACCAATCTGTGTGTAAAAATAACAATGACGCTGCAACCTTTCTAAAGTAATTTTTACCAGTCTGTAATCTGGCTCCGAATCTCTGGTCAAAATTTTCAGTTTGACCCCCCCAACTCTACAAAATATTGGATTACTCAGTAAATATACATCCATGACATTTAATATCTTGGCTTTCATCACTATACATGTTTATCTTGCTTCAGAAAAATAATATTGACAAAAAACTATTTGAGCCAGGGAAGTTTCTGAAATTTGTTTGATTTGACACAGAATGACCCTACAGTATTGTTTTTATCGTATATTTTATTTCATTTATATTTTAGTGCTGTCAAAATTAGCATGTTAACACAGGTGACTAATTATTTCAGTTTAACGTGTTAAAAATATTTTTACCCAGGGGTAGAGCTAAGCTTCCCCATCCAACTCACAACTGCTGCTTCGGTCTCTTTTTTTCTTGACAAGAATTGGGTTTATTTAGACGCAGGTCTTTACGACCACATCAAACGGGAGACACGCACTTCAACTTCTTCTCAGTGCCAGAGTTGTGAGAAAATATAATGCATGTGTCAGATTCAGGTCATGTTCAGCAGCGGAAGCTCTTGAAGCAGACAAAATAACCTAATAACCCAGCAGCTATGATGTCTGTTAAATCAAAGAAAAAAAAAAGAAAAAAAAAAGAGGAAATCGATAACTATTGTAGCTTTAAGGATTCATCTATTTTTAATTTAGAATTTAGTGTTTGATAACTATCAATTTCTATGTATGTAATTTTCTACTTGCTGAAGGGCAAAGGCAAAAATGAAATTTATTATAATGGGTTTATGTGAAGATTGTTTTAAGTTCATTTAAATTAGAAGTAATTTTTTCAAGTCTAATAAATGTTATAATTGATAGCTCTCAATTATACTGTAATGTTGAATGGCTATAGACAATGATTAAACATCAGGACAAAAAAAATTCTAGAAGCATCAGTAGTATTGGTATTAGTGACACTCTCCTTCAGTCATAAAAAAGATGTCATTAAACATGAATTAAAAATATACTAATATAAAAAAATTAAACAAAACATGTATGTTGTTTCTACATTAATTTGAAGATCGTCTGAAATGATTGCAATATAAAAGTATATTTCAAAACATTAATGTTACGTGCGATTAATCGATAAAAAAAAAAAAATGCAGTTAATTAGTTATTTCTGTCTCTTATCGCAGTGAAAGCTATGAACATGGTCACGTAGATCAAGAGCTGCTGCGCATCATTTCCAAGCCGGTGGAAGAGCTCAACCTAGAATGGTCCCCTCCCACTGAACCCGAATGGAACAGGCTGGACGAGTGGTTTCTTTAGCCTAGGCCCTCAAAGGCTAGGGTTGGGTACTGAAACCCGGTAACAATATGGCACCGGTACCTATGTAACCAGTATGTACTAGAACCGCATCAGACCGCAGATTTCGGTGCCATGCCTGAGTGATTGATTGAAATATTTGTCCTCCGTTTCTCCGAAATGGACGTAAGACGCATTATCACCGGCACCGCACGTGAAAAATAATTTCGGAAAGCTCTAATAATACAAATCCAACACATATTTGTAGTAACGAGAGTGTCCATGTTGTTTTCACATTCCGACTTAAAAGCACAAATCGGGAAATGAGAGCATTCGAGAAGCGCGTGGATGCAGTAATTACACTTGCTCTGATGGCAGCAGGTAGCCTTCCGTTAACTAAGCCAAACATGCTTAAATTAAAATGCCTAAAGCTAAACCTC